GAGCTGGAATCCTCTTAGATGAGAGATGAACAGTGAATGTCGGACCATGGATAGAAAAGGAACGCAACTAATATGGAAGGTTTAGATGGGGTAAGGCAGACAAAGGAGATTATGATTGATAGTTCCATTATCCATATCATCAACCCATAGCTTTGTGTATGGCTGGATGAACAGTTGAACACCGCTGCTAAAGTGGAACATGTGCTTAAAGCATGACCACAGTGCTAATGGTCAATAGGTGAAATTCCTCTTTTTTCTCTCTTTTTTTTTTACACTATTTTAGAAAAATTTCTTGATTACTTGTATGGTAGACATAAACCCATCTGAAATTTAGGGGTGTCAATTGGATTGGATTTGGTCCAATCCGATCCAGTCCAATGTGAGTCTATTACAAATGGACTATGTCCAATCCAATTCAATGAATATTTTAGTCCATTTTGGACCGATTCAATTCAATGTCTGGAGTACCTAATCTATTCAAATTTATTTTAATTTAGATTAATTCTAGCCCAAACTTGGTCCATTAACATTTATGTTCTTATTTTCTATCAATGGATCAGATATTGACTCAATCCAACCCAATCCAATATAAATTCATTATGGATGGATCATATCCAATTCAATCCAATAAATACTTTGGACCATTAAGTCTGAACTGGTCCAATTCAATATGTCTTGTTAGTCTATCTAATCCGCCTAAATTGATTTTGATTTGGACGGGGTCCAAAGGATCCAAGAGAAAATTTATGTTTTCTCATAGTTATGCGATTTCAGCATTATGTATGTGATGATGCGCAATCCGGTCGGTCCTAGCTATCGATCACCTTGTCTCGGACAGAGCTGAAGATGCCTAAAATAAGGGAGAAAATGGAGATTTCCGGGGAGGAACCCGGTAGGAACACTCCGAAGCTCAAGTTAATGTTCTTGAGGAGGCAAGGAAAATGATAGATTGCAAGACCAGAAAGCACAAAATATCACGCACCTCCTTTTTAGGGGGAAGGGGGCCTTTTATAATCACCCTGTTACACTCACTCCCATACCTCTGCCAGATTGGGTATCATCACCAAATGCCAGTTCGGGTGTCATAACCGCCATTGTCTTCCTTGTCAGGGCCGTCTCTGCCACGTCTGAGATGGCGGTGGCAAGTGGCCGTTGGAGGGCGGCTGTCACGTGTCGGACCCCTAATCAGTCAGGCACACCGTCTCCGTGTACGGGCTTCCTTGGCGTCAGGTACGGTTGTTCAGTCAGGCGACTTGGAGCCGAAGTGGTGTGCAAGGTGAAGTCTTGAGTTCAGATAGAAGTGTGGCCCGAACTGCCTCGAGATGGGTTAGCTGGGGTTTTTGCCCTTTGCGCTCCTTATAAGGCTCAGGGCCTCTAAGGGAGAGCTCGGGTTCCTCCTTGGGAGCTCGGGTCATGGGTTCCCTTTTCAGGGGAGCTCGGGTCGTGGGTTCCTTTTTTAGGGGAGCTCGGGGCTCCTTTTCTCGGAGCTCGGGTCATAAGCCCGCTGCCGTGCCGTGCTGGCGCTCCTGCTAGGTCACTCTCGATTGCTTCCACGTGTCACGCGGCCAAAGAGTCGGGCCAAATCTCCCTCCATTAGTATGAAACAAAAACTTTGAATTTACCATTCTTTTGTTGGGATTTTTGTGCAATATGATCACTAGATGATCTTCTTTCAAATATGCCTACCTAGTAGTGGTCATTTCATTCCAAAGGTCAGGCCTTTCAATCTAGAGTGTTGAGGTTTGGCTATTTAATCTATCAAGCACATCCTCTAGTCTTTTCCAAACTTTACTCTAGGCTGAGGGACAGCTACCTTAAAATTTTATCATCTTTTTATGGTGGAAATAAAATTTAAAAATAAAAAAAAGGAAGACAATAGATTACACGGGAGGACAAAGTCTTCCTTGCCATAAAATCGAAATACAATATAACATCTTTTGGAGGATTTAATAATCAAAAGTTTGGGCCCCAAGGTGATCCATTTGATCATTATGTATTTTAAATTCATTAACACATTCGTCATTAATTATTTAGTGCACAATTTTTTTCTCTGGAAAATTTATTAAGATTAATAAAATCCGCAAATTGGTATAAACAACAAAAGTAAACATCATTAGGGCTTTATTTGTTTGGAGTTCAAATCTGAAACCGGTTACGAGCACTTGGTTCAGTTTTGCATCCAATTGTTTGCACATGTGATTTGCACTCCTACCTAATATACAATTTGTATTTGTCTCAATTGCATTCACTTTATGCTCAATTTGGAAAGAGTATAAATACAAATATGTACAGTGTAAATATATACAAAACAATACAAAATACAAGGTTTTGCACTCTACAAATACATAACCTTGTATTTGTATTGTTTTGTAGAGCGCAAAACCTTGTATTTTGTATTGTTTTGTATGTATTTGCACTGTATATATTTATATTTGTACTTCTTCCAAACTAAGCCTTAAGCTGCATTTGGAAACGATGCAAATGGAGTGTAAATCTCGGTTCAAGGTAAATTTGTACTTTGGTTCACTTTTGCCTGTGTTTGGCAACATTATACTTATGCATTGACAAATGATAGACCAATGCATATTTACATTGATAATATGATGTAAAAGTACATCAATAAAAAAGAAGTAAATTTGCATTCAAGTGGACTTTTGATAAAAAATAATAAAAAAAAGCATATGCTTTATTGAAATTCATGTTTGTATCCATTACAGGTAAAAGTCCATTTGATAAGAAAGTAAATTTGTCGGTGCAAAACTAATCCAACTTTTCAATTTATATGAACCATTTTACACTCTACATATTTGCATCCACACTTATTTGCATTGTTTCCAAACACAGCCATAAGTGCAAATTTTGCAACACAAAATTGATGCAAAATTTGAAACCGCCTTACTCCTACCTCAATTCTCTCATAAAATGTGGTGATCACATCATCTTGCTTCCTACCTCACTCCCAAAAAAATTACTTTCCTCCTACCTCCAAGGCTCTATTTTCTTTCATATAAATTTCAAACCACTTCATTATACTTTTTAATGTACTTTTCACAAATCTATACTATATATTAAAGTGTGGATGTAGTGTGAAACTTTTTTTTTGACTAAAATTACCCATATTTCTTTGTTTGAAAAAAGGTATAAAAGTCATTTATTATAACTTTAATATCAAATTTAATGGTCATTAAAATGCTCATATTTATGTATTTAGTCCATGTCTAATTCTAAGGGTTGAAAATGTAATTTCAATTATTACTTTCCACATCATTTAATCCCCTTTCATTAAGTCTTATACTTAAGGTATTAAATCTCATTTTCTTTTATTAAATATTTTATTTAAGTTATTTTTCACTAATAAATGTTATTGATTATATCTATGTCAATATTTTTAACAATATAAACCTATATATTTTAAAATTAACTCAAAAACAAAACCATTATTTATCCAATTGGTGGCTAAGCAATTTAACCATCCGAATCAAATTGATCAACCTATGAAGTCATAGTTAGGTAATAATTTTTTTAATATAAATAAATATAGAAAACTTCAAAAATATAAAAAAAAATCTGACACATTTATGATATTTTTATTAATCAAATTAAAAAATAAGTGTAATAAACAAGAATTATTTTATTGGTAATGAAAATGAAATACATAATTTAGAATTGACCAAAAGTAAAATATAAAAATTAATAATAAATAGTTTAACTTTTGGGTTAAATGTATTAAACTTTAATGCCATAAATAAATAGTAAAGATTAATAAAATATAAGAATATAAAAATGAAGAAATAGAAATTTTTTGCAAAAAAAAAAAATATTCAAGCACGTGTATCTTATCATATATTCATCATATTAAACAAAAAGTAAGTGTGACATATCAAAAATGAATACATCTATAATTCTATGTTTACACTACTACTAAAAATAGAAATAAGATTGTGAAACTTTATTTTGACTAAAATACTCATTTTTTAATTTAGTCCTTATTTAATTATAAGGTTTAAATTGTAAATTGAACTACTATTTTTCAATTCATTCAATTCCCTCTATTTAAATCTTACATTTTTTTATAAATGAATTATAAAATGATACACCAAAAAGATAAAGCATTACAAAAAAAAGAGTCTAGCCAAGCAAGTAGCATTGTCAATAATGCTTGAAATTTTACAACTCGATTCAATTATCACATATTTGGATGATGTGTTTATTTGCAATCTAATTAGTATTAAAAAACAAAAAAATAATAAAAAATACATAAAATTTATAAAAAAATTGAATACATTATTATTATCATTATTATCATTTAGAATTATCACGTACAAAACACACTTACTAGTAAACAAGAAAAATAATTTACATTTGACTTATTTGTAATCCCATACATTTTACATCGATGTAAATGAAATTTGAATTGCAAAGAATGTAGGACACTTTTTGACACTACTCCCTGCAATGCACAAGTCTGACGTGTGCACTCTTAAATGGTATAGGTCCACTCTTAACTTATAATTTTTAATTTCAAATCAAATCTAATTTATTTTCCTAGCTCAAATAAAAAATATAAGTATTTTGGCAAATGTACAGGGTTTTTTTGGCTATTTCTGACGTGTCATATTGGGAAGTGAAAAAATGACAATTTTTTCTCTGAATTGCCACAACCACCCTAAGAAAATCTTTCAGTAAAGAAATCAAAATCATTCAAATGCCACGTAGACATATCTCTAATTTTCCATCAACCAAGTTTTTGGCAGAAAGTGGCGGAAAAACAAACGCACCGCAATGAATTGCTTCTCTAATTTTGTGTCCACGTTATGATGAGGGGAGGTCGACCCGGCCGAGCGGTTAGCTTGCACAGCCCATGTGACGAGTGACGATAGGACTACAGAACTCAAGTCAGGAGCTGTCCTCCGCCGGTCCGCCCGCCCCGCCGCTCCGGATTGAAGCTCCACGTCTTGCTTACGTCGATGCTCATAATAATTCGGCGAATTAAATATTAATATTTTGGCCTTTTTTTCTGCGAAAGAAATGAAAAAGGGTGGTAGATGTGTAGAATCAATGTAGATGAGAGACATTGAAGCACCTCGAGGTTGATTGGGTACACCGTAACACGAAGCAAGCAACAATGGCGGAAAACGAAAATACAAGGCTTCTCCAGTTCGCGCCCTTTCAGAGCGCCGTAGACGAGGGTTTTTGGAGGAGACTGTCTTCTCTCAAGCTCGACACCTTAGGGATTGACCAATCGCCCATCGCCATCACCGGCAAGTTCCCATATGCTTTTTCCTTTTTCTCCTCATTCGTTTCGGATTCTTCATTTGGTGAAACAATTCCCATCTGCACTGAGTCTTCTTCTAATTTACGTGTAGAATTTTCTTTCTTGCGTTCAATTATGACTGGAATTTGTTATTATTATCGCCTGCAAAATTCTTGATTTTATCATATTCTCTCTGTAGGTCTGTCTTATCTTGCTTTTCAGAAGCTCTCAATTATATATATATACATATATAGCTTTGAAGACACCTAGCAATTTTATGGATGTTGGAAAGTGGCGAATTTCGAACTATTCTGCTTGAAAGTCGAACTGAAGGAAAACTTTATTTGATTTGTTTAGTCCAAGATCCAGTACCACCTTCCACCTGAAAAAAGGTTAAGGAGAGATTTTATGTTCATTCTGCTATTTAAGACCATTACATATTCAAGTTGTGAGTCTGACATTGATAGAAATCTGTTTTAGGAATTGATAGGGTTTTGTTTCTGAACAAAATTATTATGGATAAATGGCAACGAGTATTCTAAACTAGATAATTCACTGATAGAGTAAATGAATCCTACTTGCCAATGTCACAAGCTAGGGAAGGACTTAAGCCTTCAATTATTGGAATCAAGCACTAGGTTTTCATTGTCAAATACATTTGGAAAAACAAAATTGAGGTGCACACATCGTCTTAGAGCATTATCTTTATACTAGTTCAAATAGTCGGACTTGGACCTCAAACCTCTATAAATGGGTTCAGTTTGTAGCCTTGGTTTATTTGAAGTAACTATATCACTCATCTTTTATTGCCCAAACTAGAATGTAAAATCTTAAAGCTTATACAGGTCATGCCTCTCTTGCCTTGTGAAGCACTTCTTTCTTCCAGACTCACTAAACCTCTTAAATATTTGTTTATTCCTGCTTTGGATGCTTTTGTGACTTACTATTGTATATTCTAACTTCTAAGACATGTGTCACCTGTGTGAACAGGTTTTTATGCACCATGTTCACATGCTCAAGTTTCAAATCATTTAACACTTATTGCTGAATCTTTGCCCCATGAACCAAGTGGACAATCATCAGCATCAGCAGTAACTCGTGGCAACAGGAACAGGTGCCCTGTACCAGGCATACTTTACAACACAAACACACTGGAAAGTTTCCATGGCCTAGATAAACAGAGATTGTTGAAAGCAGAGGCAAAGAAGGTACCCCTCTTCCAGTATAGGTTTTTATTTATTTCTATGTATTTCTATTTGGAAGTATGAATTGGTAACCTTCATGCAATGCCTCCCTTCTGCAAACAATCCTGTGATGTAGCACTACAACATCACTTAATAATGTAACTGAAGAAAAAGTTACTAACCAAAATGTATTTAGAAATCTGACACCGAATGGTAATGCTTCTTTATCATCAGATTTGGGATGACATCTGTTCTGGAAAAGCAGAGGAGGATGGTGCAGTGCTATCCAGATTCCTTCTAATCTCATTTGCTGACCTAAAAAAGTGGAGATTCCATTACTGGTTTGCCTTTCCTGCCCTGGTGCTTGATCCTCCAGCGACATTGATTGATTTGCAGCCAGCTTCGCAGTATTTCAGTTTAGAGGAGGTGCCAAAGAGGATAAATATTTTCTATGATTTGGTTCAGTTAGTCATTTTAGTTGTTTTTTTGTATCCTTTCTGATGTCAGTATTATTCATACAGGCAGAATCTCTGTCAGCAGCTTGTAATGCACGGCGTACATCAAGTGTAATGGCAGGTTGATCTGTTTGTTGTGTTATATCTGCTTTGGTTAATTCAATATAATGTTTAGCTCTGCTATTTCTTTCCAGGAGGCTAACTCACTAATTTTACTGCAGATGTACCATTCTTTCTAGTTACTATATCTTCAAATTCACATGCCACAGTTAGGCCATTAAAAGATTGGGAAGCCTGCAAGGGTGATGGCCAAAAGGTTTGTCCATGAAACCATCAGAGTTCTATGGATTTTGTATGTTAACTATTCTTGATATTGAGTAATATTTAAATAGCCCCTCTTGCAAAGTTATATGCAACCATAAATTTGTGTTTATAAGGTTTATCTAAGGTTACTGTGAAATGTAAATTTGTACCCATCTCTTCTTGAGTCATTACAATTGGTACTTGGCTGCCTGCAGATTCTTTTTGGTTTCTATGATCCATGCCATCTCCCTAATAATCCCGGTTGGCCTCTTCGTAACTTTCTTGCACTTATATGTTCAAGGTGGAATCTAGAGAAGGTTCGCTTTCTCTGCTATCGAGAGCAACATGGCTATGCAGATTTGGGTTTGTCCCTTGTTGGTGAAGTTTTGCTTTCAGTTCCACAAGGTAGAGCAGTGGAAAATGGGTAATGGCTCTCTTCTAATGAATATTCTCTTTCTGTGTAGTTTGAATTGGCTTATATCACCAATACTCTTCAATTCGTGGATTATTTGTTTAGGTTGGAGAGACCATCAGTCTATACCTAATGCCGTGGGATGGGAACTAAACAGAGGCAAGAAGATTTCCAGGTGTATAAGGCTTGCTGAATCCATGGATCCAATGAGGTAAACAGTTTGTGTATTCACTAGCTAAAGGCTTCATTTTTCAGTAACCGTATTGAGCAATTACAGAAATTGTTCACAGGTTGGCCATTTCTGCAGCAGATCTGAATTTAAAACTCATGAGATGGCGTGCTTTGCCATCTTTAAACCTAAACATCCTGTCAACTACCAGGTGCCTTCTCTTAGGAGCAGGGACACTTGGGTGCCAGGTTGCTCGTATGCTCATGGTGAGTATTCAAAAGGCAGTAGGTAAACTGTTCCAATTTTTCCAATGGTTAGCTGATGCAAGATTATATCCACCTGCAGGCTTGGGGTGTCCGGAAAATTACACTACTTGACAGTGGTCGGGTGGCTATGTCTAATCCATTAAGGCAGTCTCTGTATACCTTCAATGACTGCCTCAATAGTGGTGATTTAAAAGCCATGGCAGCAGCTAGAAGTCTCAAGCAAATATTTCCAGCTGTGGTGATTTTCTTTAGCTTGTCAATCTTTGTAGACCTGTCCAACATTTGGAAGGGTGTTTATTTCTCAATCCAAGCATCTATGCTGTACTTTGCAGGAAGCTGAAGGCATTGTAATGGCAATACCAATGCCTGGACACCCAGTGACAGCTCAAGAAGAAGGTAGTGTGGTTGAAGATTGCAAACGTCTTCAAGATTTAATTATTTCTCATGATGCAGTTTTCTTGTTGACTGATACAAGGGAAAGTCGATGGCTTCCAACACTTTTTTGTTCCAATGCCAATAAGGTTGATTACATTAGTTTCTTTTATTTTCTGTCTTTTCCATGAACTTTGTATTTTCATGGTTATTGCATCAGATGTAGTCTTTTAAAAGGAAAGAGAAACCACCACTTTTTTGGATATTTCATCTTGCATTTGTTATGAAGAAGAGACGATAGAATTCAGATCCAGCAGACTTGAATGATAAACTTAAACTTTATTTAACGGTATGGTAATCATTTATTTCATTTGCAGATAACTATAACTGCAGCTTTAGGATTTGACAGCTTTGTAGTTATGCGTCACGGAGCTGGTCCTTTCGGTTCTAGTAGTGACTATAAAAGTGAAGATGAAAATACCTTGGCAACTTCTATGGCCAACTTATCCCCATCAGAAGATGGACACAGGCAGTTAGGTTGTTACTTCTGCAATGATGTGGTTGCTCCTATTGATGTAATTATCCTGAAATCCCAATGTATTACACCCATTTCATAGTGGTAATATTAATCTTAGCAATAATTCTTTGGTTCATTGCAGTCAACTGCTAACCGCACATTGGATCAGCAATGTACTGTTACACGACCAGGACTTGCTCCCATTGCTTCTACCCTTGCTGTTGAGCTGTTGGTGGGAATTTTACATCACCCCAATGGGTAAATCATTAAGAACTACTTACATAATGAATAGTTGAATTTCTTGGCGATGGCACAGATCACATGTAGTTTTGGTTATTGTAACATGTTGGATTTTGCATTTTATTTGCTTTCACATTCTTACTGATAGTCTGGTGTTGGACTGGGTTTCTACAGGATACTTGCCCCAGGTGAGGTTGCCAGCTCCAATGGTGGGGGGAGTAGTGAACAACCTCTTGGTATTTTACCCCATCAGATCCGTGGTTCCCTCTCTCAATTCTCTCAGATGACTCTTGTTGGTCACTCCTCTAGCAGTTGTACAGCCTGTAGCAGTTCTGTAAGTATTCCAGCTTATTTTATTGCTATCTAAACTAAGGGTTGAGACAAAGATTTTCATTTCAAATGCTAAGTGTGACATTTTGCATCAATATACATATCAGAGTCAGAACCTGACAAGTAAATGAAGTGTCATGTATGTAAACTTTTGTTGAGGAAAAAAGAAACAGGATAGATTTTTAGGGTTGGTACCTGTTTCGACTAGTGCTACAGTAGTTCGAACCAGGAAGAGAAGAAGAAGAAGAAGGGTCTGTCGAAATCTGATGGATTACCCATACAGTCGACCCCCTTAATCTATATTAGACTCTAATAATCTTTACAAAGACAAAAATGCCCATAAGTGTGGGGCAGAGTGACTCTAATAACACTGCCACATAAGCAAGCTACTTAACAAACATAAGAAGACTAAACTATCCCTATTCAGCACACTTTAACACTCCCCCTCAAGCTGGAGAATATATGTCATATAATCCCAGCTTGTTACATAGATAATTCACTTTCCCTGAACTTAGAGCTTTTGTAAACAAATCTGCCCACTGGTCATTCGAGCCCACATGTTCTGTATTTATTTCTCCAGCAAGAACCTTCTCTCTCACAAAGTGACAATCAACCTCTATGTGCTTTGTTCTCTCATGAAAGACAGGATTGGATGAGATATGGAGTGCAGCTTGGTTATCACAGTATAATCTCATAGGTTTATCCATGTGAAACCCAATTTCTTGTAGGAGATTCCTCAACCACACTAATTCACA